GGTGTTGCAAGGATGACTGTGGTAAGGATCACGAGATGCTCAGGTGCTGCGGTGATGTATGGAGAGAGAGGACTTTCATCCTCTGACAGGCCTGTCAACCCAGCGTGCTGTCTGTCATCTTTTAAGAAGTCTCGGTATTTGTAACCGTCGCCAGCTATTTTCCATAGAAACTCAACCCAGATGTGTATTTGGGAACCCTACAGGAGTTGCCTTTGGAGGTTAGGAGAACTATCTTCTTCGGGGAGTGGGTAGAAATCCCACAGAAACAGGCTGGAATGTAGTCCTGAATGATGGCGACCTGTCAAATGTTAATTTAGGGCAATTCCCTCTGCAGCCACTTCCGGGTCCGGCTGAGTCTTTGGGTTAACGGTAGGGTGACCAGATATCCGATTTTATAGGGACAGTCCCGATTTTTGGGTCTTTTTCTTATATAGGCTCCTATTACCCCCTACCCCCGTCCCGATTTTTCACACTTGCTGTCTGGTCACCCTAGTTAACGGCGATCGCTTTAAAAAATAAAGAGCGAGCGGCCAGCTCTACAAACACGGTTCCCTGTGTCAGCGTGCAAACTGGGCTCGATCCGCCACTGCCCGGCCCCGGGTGTAGCTGCTTACGTGGCTGCAAAGTAGGTGCAAAACGCTGCCACGCTGGTTCGGTAGCGACTTTACTGGCTTTGCACGGGGTAAATGGCTGCGAGGAGGCAGGGCATGGCTGAATTTGGCCCTTCACTCCTGCACAGCCCAGCCTGCTCCGGGAGAGCGAGCTGGATTCCGTGCTGCGCCCGGTGCATCGCCAACAGAACGGCTGGCTCAATTCCTATCGCAGAAGTTTCACTGCGGCTGCGGCGAGCCAGGTGGGTTTGCCAGTCCCAGGTGGAGTTTGCAGCATTAATAGTCAGGAATAGAAAATGCCAATGAGGACGCCCCTTCATGTCACTCCTCGGAGGTTAATCCTCCTTTAAACCAATCATGTTCTCTGTGGGCATCTCAGGCGTGGCATGATCCTGCAGCGCCATATGGGGCATTGCTACCACCCCTTGCTCTCAGCCACCCCCGCGACTTTGCAATGCTGTGCCCGGCCCTCTGAACACGGGGCTCGCTCACCGAGCTCAGGGAGGTGGCAAGGAAGGAAGGAAACTGACATTCCAATCAGCAAAACTGCTTAATGCTCCAGCACGCTTCAAAACTACACAAGCCCTTTTGTTAACCTAGTTCGAAATCCCCGCATGAGACACCAGCCAGGCAGACAGACGCCAGAGGATTGGAGATACTAAGCCGGTCCTTGGGAGAGTTCAGCCTTGGGTAGGTCACGCTGTGTCGATCGGAATAAACCCCAGCACAGATCCCAGCCAGGAAGTGGACCGACCTTATGCCCGGAGAGAGATTTCTCCTTTATCACGTCCTGGCAGAGAGGAGAATGAACCAGGCTGGTCCTTTTTGCTCGAGTGCATTATGTAATTGCCGACGTGTTGCGACCAAGCAGAGGTTTTGGCTCACCCACATCCGAGCTGTACTCGGCGTTTTTTAAAGATTAAGTCAGTGGGGGCTGCGTGTGCTGGGCCCCTCTGACAGGCAGGGCCTCTTCAGTCAGGTGTGGAGGTAAGTGGACCCCCGAGTTAAGTGCCTCAGTTTAGACACCTATGTTTGAAGACGTCCCCCTTTAGATAATCTAGGTGCCTTTTAGCTCATGCAGTAGAGACTCATATACTAAACTTCAGAGGTCCCAGGTTCGATCCCGCCCACCGATGACCGGGGTCGGCTGGCGTTACACTTATAGTCATAGAAAAGGCAGACCAAGCGGGGATTGTTATTCCCCATTTTGCAGATGGGAAACTGAGGCACAGAGAGGCTCAGTGACATGGCCAAGGTCACAAAGGGAGTCTGTGGCAGAGCAGGGAATTGAACCCAGGTGTCCTGAGTCCCAGCTTGGTGCCTTAACCCAGTGGTTTGCACATCCCTGGGGTCCGCATAGGTCTTCCAGGGGGTACAACAACTCATCTAGAGATTTGCCTAGTTTTACAACAGGCCACATGAAAAGCACTAGCGAGGTCAGTACAAACTAAAATTTCATACAGACACTGACTTGTTTATACTGCTCTATATACGATACACTGAAATGTAAGTACAATACGTATATTCCAACTGATTTATTTTATAATTATATAGTAAAAGTGAGGAAGTCAGCAATTGTTCAGAAACTGTGTTGCTGTGACGTGTTTGTATTTTTACGTCTGATTTTGTAAGCAAGTCGTAAGTGAGGTGAAACTTGGGGGTACGCAAGACAAATCAGACTCCTGACAGGGGTACAGTCGTCTGGAAAGGTTGAAAGCCACTGCCTTAACCCCTCCTCCCTCCAACAAAAACAGTTGCATAATCTGAAAGTCAGAGCGATGCGACGTTAGCCAGAGATTTTATGCCTTGAACCACTGCAGCAGTGAGACCCTGGAACCTAAACAGATTTATAAAACTGCTTGGCTTTGGGGGAAAAAAATCCCAGCCGGTCTGACACCCTGATCTGCCTGCAACACTGGTGCTATGTTTACACAGCCTTCCTCTCCATCCCTTCCCCTCTCCGCTGGGCAGCCAAATGGGGTCTCGAACACAATCACACACATAGCAATGATCAAGCTGCAGTAACAACAACACATCTAATTTTCTTCCCCAACAGACTGAGTTCTCCTCTCAGGCTACGGAACTGCATTGACTTCTCCAGAGTGACTCTTGACTTATCCGGGCCCAAGCGTGGGCAGAATCAGGCCATATACTCTGGGCATCCTCATTCAAATACAACGCAGAGAAGGACACTGCTAATGCAGAAACCTGACCCAAGAACACTCCGCCTGAGAATCCACCCGTGTTGTGCAACAAACAGAGGCATCGGACTTCACTGCTGAAGAATCAGTTTGCAGTCTCTACAAATATTTACACATTTGCAACTCAGCAAGCACCCTAGCTAGAAATGTCCTCCTGTTTTTAAGGGACTCCGTGAAAAGAGACAAGAGTCTTGCTACAGCTTCCTTTGACCTTACGTTCAGGGTTCTCAATACACCAAGAGCAGCCATGTATTTCCAAGTCAGAATGAGTTTTGATTAGCAACTGATTAGCAACCGATCAAGAAAGAACAAATATAAAGCCTTCCGGTGAGAGCACAGCGTGTACCCGCACCTCTGTAACAATCTGCATGGAGCTGATTCAGATTTAAAGTTGCAAGACACAGGAAATGAAGGCAGGACAGATAAGTTACACAACTAATTACACCAGAAACGAGTTTGGCCGTCACTTTGGCAGGCTGAAAAGAGGGGGAAAGGAAAGAGCAAGTGACAGTGAAAACGCTAAGCTAGGGAGAAACACACCGTCTTCCCTCTGCCATCGGTGGGTCCTTGAAAGGAAATCCTACACCTCTATAGCCACACCTCTCATAGGGGCATATCGGTTAAGACCGTACAGCTCCTGATGTTCCTTTCTGTGCTCCCCCCCAGCTGCAATACCTCGCTCTCACCCCGCACTTTCCAGCCATAGGTCTCAAAGAGCTTTACCAAGCTGACAGCATTACACTGCATGCCCTGTCCGACCCACTGCACCAGTTGCCTCGCTGAGAGCTGGGCATTCGGTCTATCTATTGGCTCCCCAGGGTAGCATGCTATGGGACCTTTTCTCCCCTGCCTCCCTACCAGCTCTTGCACCCGATCGCCTGCAGAAGTGGAGGGGCGCTTAGCCCCGGCTCCTGGGATCGCTCGCCGTGCTGCCAGTTTCTGTTTGTCACCGGTACAAACCCGGACACGCTCCACTGAGCTGTACAACGCATGCTAAATGATCCCATTCATTCAGCCTTCGATTCGCTGGCCAGCCTGGCTCAGAGGAGCGACGGGCTCGGTGCATACGTTGCAACACGCTCGGAACAAAACCGACCACGTCCCCCGTCCCAGATCCGAGCCCCCCAAATTTTGAGCTGATCTGACCTCCGGGGCTGGCGTGTGTCTCCACTGGGACACTGAGGGAGCTCTCGAGTCTGCCATCCCTCATCCCCCCCACAGAGGTAACCCCGCTTCCCAGAGGAAAACTGCAGCCCAAACATCCAGAGGGCCCTGGATGACTTAATTCCCCCGGTGTCAAGAAAGCCCCAGTCTCTTCTGCCGAGGATCGGGAGGCAGGACTACTTGGCAAATACCACACAACCGGGTGTCCACAGCGGAGCTGGCAGCGCCATCCTGCCCCAGCTTTGGTGGTTAGTCAAAGTCACCCGTGACACCAGCCAGTGGCCCAATGCCAGCTTGCTCCATGAGCCAACCCTGCCCGAACCGGATCTCATGCAGGCCGGTGTAAGTCAGGAGCGACACCACTGAGGCCAGCGGAGCCCTACCCCGTAGAGAGTCAGCGCGCGATCAGGATCGAGGCCTCTAACAGACCTTGACTGTGGGACCCCAGGCAGGACTCCAGGCAAATGCCCCCCCTCCCGGCACAGCGTGCTCCCAGCCGGCTCCCATCGCTCCGACTCGCCCCTGAGCCTCCGCTGCCGGTTAGGAGCCACGTGCCCAGTTGGGCTCAACCACCCAGAGCCACATGTCCAGCCCCTGCTTTCTACATGCAAAGCCGGGCTTGGAGGAGGCATCTTGGAGGCACGTACCCCACCCCTCTCCCGCCTCGGGAGGCGTGCTTGACGGCTTGCCTAGCAACCGCTTTCTGGGGGCAGGGGCCCGTTTTGCCCCACAGAGCCCACGGGGCTTGGGGCCCAGCTGTCTGACCTCCCCCCACGTGGAGACCATGGGAGCTGGCTGAAGATAGCCCTGCCCCCAAAGAGGAAGGGGTGTGTGGGCAGGGGGTCCTCGCGTTCCCTGGGAGATGGGCTCTCAGGGCAGGCTGGCTCACCTTAGCCCGGGGCCTCGTGGGTGGCTCCCAACAACAGCCGCCCCCTGCTCTAAGGAGTTTTGAGAGGCCGTTATCCGGGGGGAGGGAAGCACACTCATCACACACACCCCCCCCCCATCCCCAGCTGGTACTCACCCCACAGCTGGCTGGTGGGGGTGGGGGGCACAGGCCTGGGTCGAGCCTTGAGACCGGCGGGCACAATCCTCACAGGGCCCAGGTACTCCACGTAGGTGCCCGGGAAGTCGCCCCGCTCCTTGGTGCGCTCGTTGAAGCCGTTCAGCCAGCCCTTGGGGCTCCTCTCGTCCCCCTCCTTGTAGTCGGCAGCGCCCAGCAGTCCCGCCTTGCTGACGGTGACCAGGTCCCCGGGGCACAGCGCCAGGTCCTCCTCCCGGCCCTTCTTATACTCGTAGAGCGCGCGGTACTGCAGCCCGTCCGACGAGGCCATGGCGGGAAGCTGGCAGCAAGGGGTCACTCGCACGCCACGTGCTCTCCGCCAGGCCCAGCGGGCATTGGGAGGGGCTGAGAGAGGGTGGTGGGCTGGGATCAGAGGTGGGTTGTGGGGGGTGAAGAGAGGAGGTCGGTAGAGCTGTGCCTAGAATGTCTAACTCTCCCCCCGGGCACCCCCAGAGTCGCGGCTCCGGCTGCCAGCCTCCCACTCCGGGAGCGCGGGGATCAGAGGCAGCCCCGAGGGGTCAAGAGCATGCAGCCGTCAGCCCAGCCATCCATAATAATCCCAGTGCCACCCGCTGCCAGCTCTGCGCGCGGGGAGCAGATTGCGGTCGCCCGTCTCTCCCCCAGCTCGGGTGCAATCAAACGTTTCCCGATACGCCCGCCAGCCCAGACGCCCTCCGTCTTCCCGGCCAACGCTGCTTGGGATCCCGCCGTCTCAGCGACCGCCTGCCCGGTCCGTCCCTGCGGGAGAGAGAGAGAGACAGAATATTAATGCTTAAATCATCATCTTCTCGAGGCACCAACAGAGCCCAGCTTCCCACCCAAAACGCCACGCCGGGGCCGCGGGAGGCACGGGCGGCTCAGCCAGGTCCCACGTCCGCAGGGATGGGGCACCGCAGGCAAGAAAAGCGGGGCCAAGCGGCTGCAAAGGAGAAGAGACTGGGCACGGTGCCCTCTCTCCATAGGCCAGTCATTAATCCGCCTCTCCCTGCGCACAACACCCCTCCAGAGGGCTGCCGAAGCGCCGTGCCAGGATCGGGTTAAACACGCAGAGATGGGGGGTTTTTTGAAGGGGGGCGGGGGACATTTCAAAAATCACAACTGCCCGGGGACCACTCAACCCACGTCAAGTCAAAGCGAAGCGAGTCCACGCAGCATTCGGCTCCAGGCCAGGCATTTCGGAGCAAAGCCAGTCAGTCGTTCGGCTCCCCTCTCCTCTGCTGCCCACCACCGCCAGTGTGCACAGCTCTTAAGAGCAGAAACTAGCGAGCCACATGGAGAGACGGCGGCTTCCCCCCCCAACACACACACACACACACACACACACACACACACACACACACACACACACACACACACACACACACACACACACACACACACACACACACA